AAATTAAAGTTTTAACGTTAAACGTTAACGTAAAGTTTAACTTAGGTAAGTAGTTAGTAGTACTAAGATAATAAGTAGGTAAAACGTAAATAGTGTGTGTGTGTGTGTATGTATGTATATATATATATATATATATATAGAAAAGCTGAAAATTGAAGGAAAGAATACATCACAAGGAAGGATAGAGTGAATCTTATGCAGCATTTCCAAGCCTTAGATGAAATACAATTAAATGTAAATTTATGAGAGAGAAGAAAAAAAATTGCAGCCACAATACAAATATCTAACACTTGGGCACAAATCATAAGGTGTGTCATCATATAATGTGCCCTAGTTTTTAGAAGTTCTGGTGGAAGTAAGACCCAAATTGCATTGGGGGTACACCATCCATCTATCCAGTTTAACCTCAACTTCGCTGGCCTCATATGATTCAGAAGAGGAAAAAAAAAATTGAGCAGATGTGGGTGCTCTAGCCCACAGTGTCCCACATCTTTACCACCTTTTGCTGTCTGCAGCCAGCTGTGGGTGCTCTGTCCCACATCTTTACCACCTTTTGCTGTATGGTTGTACACCATCGTAATATTCTAAAGCCCCCATATAACTATGATTTTTCTTAACTATACTTGTGTTTCACTATTTTTTATTACAGTAATTGGTTAGGATGTCAATAACTTTGCAAGAACATGGGCTTTATTCATTATGTAAAGTAGAAGGGTGGTCTGGGGCTCCTCCCCTAGAAGGGGTCAAATGAACAGTGACCTTAACAGGTGGTTCAGGGGTTAAAAAACAAAAACCTAACCAGAATTGAATTTTCAAGACAGCTAATTCTTGTTTCTGGAGGTAAATTTCAAGCATTTTAGGAAAGCTAAGCCTTGTATTTGGAGCAATATTTAAGTTACAGATTTTTATTTCGAGGTGAATTCATATTGTTCTTTTTAATATTTCCCATACATATGACACAAGAAATCACAACACAAGTATGACTACAAACTGTGAAACGTGATATTTTTATTAAAAAATTCCATCCAGGTGATTTAAAATTGTGTGACATGAGCTGTTCATTTATAAAATTCATACACTTGAAACCTTATACATGTTAGTACAAACAGCAACTATTTATAATGTATTAAAATTTGTATTCCTTCACTAAAGGGTAGGAAAATTATCTTGTAGTTATGCCTGCAGTTTCCAGTAGCTTTTTTCTCATAATAACATTATGCATCAAATTTATTTCAGAAAAGTTCATCATGGTTCATCATTTTTTAATGAATGAAATACCAATATGTAAATATATTTAAAATAGCTTGATAGATTCTTATATGCACATATCTCAAGTAACTCGTACATTCCACGTCAGTCATGATTCACAAAAGTGAAAAACAACCATGATTGGCATCTGAGTACAGAATTCATTGAGAATTCAAATCACAGTAACTTTTGAGATGATAATATATCAGGTGATGAGCATTGGTTTTTAGAGTTACTGTTAAATAAATAACAAAAATGTGGTTAAAAAAACTTGCCAAGGCATTATTACAAAGTTTTTTGATTCATGATTCACCAAATTCTGTGAATGTTCTTGTACACTGACTGTTAAACCCAATATTCATAACCTATCAGCATTTTAAAAGTCACTGTCTTATTCTGAGTCATAACATGAATCATCAGTTACAACTGAGCCCAATCAAATGTTTCCAAGTATGCCCTTCTCTACAGTTTCAATCTTAATGGTGTCTCACAAAACAATACTTCAGTCTGGACACAAGTACAAGCAGATGACTTTGAATTTTGATGTGTGTGTCTAGACCGAAAGATTTTTGTTAGGCATCATGTTGTAGATTTTATCTCGTCAATTCCTTTTTCTGGGCCATTAAGTGTTACTTGCACCAGGACCTGTTACATGACATTCTTTAAGCTTTACCTAAGTCGTGTTTTGATCTTCTTAACAGTGCTTGCACCATGCTCTGACCTTGTATTTGACACTGGGGAGGTAAACAAAATATCTGCAATGTTGCTCATGTTGGGATGGAAGTGTTTTAGCTGAACAATCTTTTGTCAACTCATTTGTGGTTAATAATTAGGTACTGTGTGCTTCAAGGTCATCAATCAGCCCTAATTTCATTTTGTTTATCTTCAGGAACAAAATGTTTTATAGTGAGCTGCAACTTGACTTTAAATATGAAGTTTAAAACTGGGTTTGTTTTTGTTTGGTACTTTATTTGTTTCCAACACTGACAATACAGGCAGGGTTTCCTCAAACTTAGAGCCAATATTATTTTTAGGAGTATTAACTTATTTGAGAATTTAGGCTTTCATCTTTTCTATCTTGTTACCAGGTGTTGAATTCTCTAACATATCTGACCTCGCTTTATCACCAAGATCTGAGCATAGTTTTCATAATGTGACATACTTTTGGTCATCTAACTTATCCTTTGTATATTCAGTTGCTGGACTGATTTGGGAAAAGTGAATAGCTCCTTTGGAAACTCTTACTTAACATGTTTAAATGTGGCAATATTTCACTCAAGATGCATATTGTTCACACAAAATGAAAATCTGATTTTCACTAATAGACCTAGAGCTGTAGCATCTATATTGTATAAGTTATATATAATTTGTAACACATCTAGACACCTTTTGAAAATTGCTTATATGGAGTTATCAAAAGACAACCATCTAGTCTCACAGGTCTTCTTTAATCACCTACTGGCACTAATCTAACTTTCCTTGGTTGTTAAGTGCAGTCCTTTCATTCCTACTTATGCCTTTAAATATCCAGCAAGCTTTTTGGCAGAATTTCCAAAGATCTTCCAAAGTTGAACTAACTACAGTTGTGCCTGTTTGAAGTATTTCACATCCTCAAGAGTATGTGTACACGTCTGTGACAGATACAGTGTATGTTTATAAGCTATAGTTTCACTTCTACTTTAAGTCTTGCAGCTACTTCCAAAGATCTTCCAAAGTTGAACTAACTACAGTTGTGCCTGTTTGAAGTATTTCACATCCTCAAGAGTATGTGTACAAGCAGGAACACGTCTGTGACAGATACAGTGTATGTTTATAAGCTATAGTTTCACTTCTACTTTAAGTCTTGCAGCTACTTTGGTTATTACACTTGCACCATCAGAGATAAGACAGTATCCCTGTTTCAAGGTAAAATCTTTCAGCTTGCTTAAATATTTATCTGTAATTGTCTTAGAATCTGCTGAAGCTACTAAAAGATTGTCAACAGACAAAAATGTTGCTTTCACTTTATTATAACATTCATCATAGAACGGAACAAACATTATCATTTGTTCATACACAGTAATGTCAGTTACTTCGTCCATCATGATTCCAAAGTGATCAGACTCTTTTATACCACTAATTATTGTATCCTCAACTGCTTTACCCTATGATAAAAAAACGTTTTTCTCAATGCACCTTGTGATCTAAGTCTGGAATGCTTTATTTCAGACATTACTAAATCAGATAGAGAGAGTTTAAGTTTCTCTTTGCCAGTTCCTCTTTAACAACAAGTAAATTATCAAAAGAGCATTTCCATGTACATTCTTTCCTACTTTATATTTTTCATCAATCTATTTTTGAAAGCATGACACATGCTGCAACAGTTCAGTAAATATAGCATTTTAATACTGTTGAATATTAGTGTGATCAGTAAATATTTCTGGATGGAACCTCTTGCTGGCATCATTATTATATACCTTTGTCTTCTTTTTGGGGATTAAAGCACTCATTTTTTTCTGATAGAGTACAATATAGACCATCTCCTTCAATATTTCTGGCCCACCATTCTCCGTTTTTTTTCATGATATGCTACTTTCCTATTCACCCAACTGTGCTGGAATTTGAATTTCAGTTTGTCAGATCTGCATTTTTCTCATTTGGATATAATACAACATCCATTGCCTACACAGACACCACACTGATACATCGTTCCATCAGAAATAAGGGTTTGGGTCAAATTCCATATCTTGTCAGTTCCAGGTCCATTGAAAACTGTGTATGATTCAGTAGCCTTTGAACGATTTTGGCCTGAAAGTAAAAATTACATCAAGACCCACTACTTTTGGTTGAGTTCCTTCTTTTCAAAGGATTCCATGTGTAATGATGCAATACTTAGACTCAAATTACCTCACCGGATATTTTATATTTCATTTCTCACTGATGCATGAAATTTTTTATTTTCAGCATTTATTTATAGACAATCGAATATTCAGTAATGCATAAAATGCATGTATTTCATAACAAGAACTAAATCAATATCTGAAAAACAGTTCAAATATTTTGCTTTTAAAACCTACTTGATGAGTTGTTCTGAAATGACTGATGATCAGAGGATTAATCTGAACCAGCCTGGTCTGAAAACAAAATTTCATTGAGAATAATATGCTATTCAAGTTGCATAACATCATGATAATGATTATATTGGAAAACTAAAGGAAGGAAGACTTCAGTATGAATGATATGCTATCCAAATTGTATAGCAAAATGATCACATGAAAACTATGTAGCATGTTGAACTTATCAATGGAAAATTTAAGCATAGTGTTCTCTAGGCGTGTGAGTTCATTATACCATCCTTGAGCAAGGCCCTCCTAAGAGTTGGACAAGATAGAAATTTTTAAAAAAAGCAAGCTTGTAATTATTTCAGATATTCTAATGAAACTACTTGCTTTGTAAAGGGTAGAATCTAGTAAATGCGTACATTATTATATTTAAAAGAAAACAAATTGGGATCTGTACAAGTATGCACTTTTTCTGTTGTAGAATGTTCCATTCACCTTCCAATGCAAATGATCAGTTGTGGAAAACCTGCATTTTGTTTTAATTCAGGTGGAATATAGATATATTTTATAGGGACTTGTCTTTTTTTATCTTTGTATTTGTACAATAAGGTAAGAAAAAAATTTGAAATTCTCTTCATAATTTCACATTTGTTTAATCACAAACTCATTTCAGCAAAAATTTTAATAGCTAGTTTCTAAATTGAAAATTTAATGAAATATTTTCTGTTTCTTTGCAAGTATCAATTAATATTTTAACAATTTACTTCAGATATTTCAGAAAATCACTGAAAACCCTCTAAGGTTATCCTTCATACTTCTTTTTTAAATTCAATTTCAGATTAACTTGCACATTTAAAATCCATTCCATAATGAAGAATAACTGTAACACTAGAGGGAAGTAAACAAATTGATCAGTATTCCAACAGTTGCCCGAACAGTGCATTTAAAATAGCATGTGGAAAGTACTGATGCTGTCTTATGCTATAAACAAGTCAATTGGATTGTATTTAAATGCAAAGTGGTGGTGAAGTTATTAATTTTATAAATCTAATGTTGCTTTACAAAAGTAGTTGGGTCCAAATGCATATGTTGCTGGGGGATATCCCTAGTCCTCAGGGCATTTTGATAGTACTGAACATTTGGAGACCCTGGACTGAATCAGCAACAAGTGATAAATGATTGCATTATCATGTGTACTCCTTTAGATCATTTACAAGTGGTATTAGTATCATAGGAAAAAAAGCATTGATTCTTCTACAGCTTTTAAGTTTAAAGTATTTCTCTACAACGTATTGAAAATTTATTTATTTTTTATCAAAATGAAGTACCCCAATGGGGATTTAATAATACAGTGTTGTCACAAACCAGACTAATTTAAAAATAACTACCACTGATAAATGATTAAAATATTAGTTTTCCTCAAAGGGTCTAGGCTTGTGATGGCTCTTTTTGTGGCTGTGAATCTAACTGCACTAATGTATTTAATTCTACATCAGAATTAGTTAGTTATTTAATGAAAGGATATTTTCTCTCATGTTTCAGAATATGATAGCTTTACTTACAGTGTCACATGACAAACTTTTAACATTCTTTGTTAGTGAAATACTTTATCTCGTCATGTTGTTAAGTTAGCATTATGTGCATGATATTCTCTGATTTATTTTAGACATATATATAACTAGAATATTAAAATCTTTATTTAAGCTGATCAGTGGTTGTAAAGGATGAAATACATCTAATGAAGAAAACGGGTTAATATGAAGTTCAATGTGAATGTGGTCGTGTATACATTGGACAAACTAGAAGAAACTTAAAATTTAGAATAAATGTACATAGAGAAATGTTAAAAACAAAAGTGAAAACCTTCCATTAGCTGAACATGTAAATTATACTGGACATTTCATCTGGTGGGAAAAAAAACTGTTATTTTGGCTCAACTGAATAATATGACTGCTAGAAATATTAGAAAAACGAATGAAACACAGCAAAAACAACTTGATCATAAATAAGGATGAAGGGTTAGAAAATCAGAAAGTATGTAGATGGCATGATTTTCTTTTTTGAATTGTAAGTTAGTAGTTGCACGACTATGGCTTTTGTACTTATATAGCACACAGTAACTGTTTTTCACACTCGTGAAGATGATGTGAAACCACGTTGAAAGAGATATATAAGAAGTGACTTTTACAACCATTGATCAGTTTAAATAAAGATATAATTGTGTATTATAAAATGTTGTTCATTTATGGATTTTAATATTTTATATATATACACAAGTTCCTTGAATTTATCCTTTTAATACATAAAATTTGTTTTTATTTAAACAGAAAATGCCGCACAAAAACCACGTGAGTTTAAAGAAAGGCCTGGACTTAACCGTCGACGGGGTGCAATGCGAAGACGTGTGCATCAAGTTAATGGACATAAGTTTATGGCCACAATTCTTCGACAGCCAACATTTTGTTCTCATTGTAGGGAGTTTATATGGTAAGTTCATATGTATTTAGTGGCAGGCAGCATTTAGTTATGAAATAAAACTTTTCAGTGTAGACGGTATTTGCTTAGGGCACTAATTTTTTTGTTTGTTTATTTTTCACCCAACCATTTTCCTAACTTTTTCTGTTGTGAAAAGATTGGAAAAAATATAACTTGATAACCCAGCCATCTCATAACCATCAGAAATTTGCCTTCATGTATTATCCCTCAAAATTCCTATTGACACCCTAGCATTTTGTTTACTCTTAATGTATTTTAAGAAATTCTTACTATTAATTTTTACATATTCAGCCAAACTTTTTCATATACTTTTTCAATTCCATAATTTTCTGTTTGACCAACTTTTTTGATTCTCTGTAATCTTCTAAATCTTAGTAATGAGTTTAAACTTATAATGCTTTTCTTTAATTTTATCCATTACACAATTTATTAGGTAACTCAAATTTTTACTTACAGCCACTCATTTTCTCTATTAGGAACATGTCTACCTTGAATATTTAAGAAAATTTTCCACTTGTGATCAGCATATCCAATTAATCCAATTGTCTATTTTGCAACATAATTCTTGTCATATCTTTTCAAAATTTGCTTTTTTGTTCCTTATCTTCATATGCAGCAAAACTTCGAACCTAACTGAGCAATGATCATCACTTGCACTAAGATATGCCCCAATCTCTAAGAATATAACACTATCTAGAGGCTTCAACTCTAATCTAATAGATATAATTTTTATTAAACATAAAGAAGATAAAACTTTCCAGTTATCAGTAACCAAAAAGATTACTTCTTTTCATTTACTTTTGTGTCTGAAATTGCCAGTGAAATAATCCATTCAATTGGTGAATTAAAAACTGATTTAAGTCATATTCAAACTCCACATAAGATAAGCATTTTATTACATAAGTTGAAAATAGTACTGCAAAAAGAATAAAAGCAAGGTATATATGGTATATTATGTGAATATGGTAAGAAATATATCAAACAAACATTTCACTCATTGTAAATCAGTTGTAAAGAACACCAAGGTCACATGCTTGTAGGAGTATTTCTGAAATCTGTCATAGCATGTCATAGGATACCCTTGGGATCAAATTTCTCTCCTACATCAGCCCAAAAAATTATAAAAAAAAGTGATAGTTTAAAAACAATAGAAATTATAAAAGCAGGGGTTGAGTTAGATTTAATCATTTGACAGTGGTCCTGATAACATTAGCAAATTTTGACTAAGTTTATTCTTTTACTTTCCCATGCCTGACCAGCCTTGACAATTTTCATAAGTTAAATTTCAATACCATCATGTAGCAACATTAGTTTGATCTACAAATTTTGTATTCCTGCTTCTTTGTGTTTGTATATAAACCTTGTATTCTTAGTTTTGTATAAAACCTGAAGAAGACAGACCAAGGTACTGTCAAAACATGTACATGTTTTCTACAGTAAATATATTGTGCTTACAAATACAACTTTGTTGATTTATTAGTCTTAATAAAATCAAGCTCATCAGATCAAGGTACTTCTCAAAGATAATAAGTGATGTGTACATCTGTGTTGGTCATGTTATAATATAAAACTAAATTGCTAGAATATTTTATTTCTTATTAATACTTGTATTTTACTGGTTAATTATCTTTTGTTTATTTTTAATATCCTACTATTAATAGCTTTGCAATAATTATTTTTGGTATCAAAGTTACATCGTGCAGTATTGAATATTTTTTCACTTTTTTTCATTTTTATGGCTAATGTATGTAGCTATGTAATTTATGAGTATCAAAATATAAATAAGCTTGCAATACTAGAATATGCAAGAAAGATCTTTCAAAAATATTGTGATACAGAGCTACATTAAAGCCAGTACTGGAAGTTCAGTTTAGCTTCATTCTCATAATTAAGAACTGAAAGTTTTGAGGAATATGCTACATTTGAAAATGTGATGAGATTTTGATGGACAGTATAACAAGTATAATGGCTGAACAAATAAAATCAGAATTTAAATAATTCACTGCAGAAACATAAATCAAATAAAATTAAAAATTAAGTAAAATGCCTGACAGTGTTTGAGTTGCTTAATTCCTGTTCAATATGATTTATCTTCACTAAATTTTCAATTAGCCCCTAAATTGTAAAACAAAAATAAAATACTAAAGCTTATCTACTGATTTCTATGTATATATTATTGTAGTAAATATTGGTTCATCAAGTTATTCTAGATGCAAAGTATAGCATTATATTTATATGAGAGTACTTCACTCATCAAGACCAAGGTAGTCAGAAGAAACATAAGTTTTACAGTTTGTGTATAAATTGTACTTAAAGATGTGAAAATCATTAGAGATATTGAAACAAGATAACCAGATTATTGTTATTCAATTCAGCAATATTATTATTTTTTGCAGAAATAGGCATGATTTTAACTAACAGTTATATACTGCTAGTTTTAAAAACAAAGCTACAAGTTTGTGGTTTATTCAGTGTTGTCTAATGAATGAATCATTGTTTCTTGTAGGGGCTTAGGAAAACAAGGATATCAATGTCAAGGTAATCTCATTATTGTCATACAAAATTAATAACTATTAGCACACATTGTTAACTGTTTTCAATATACATGGCAAGCATTTCAACTGAAGACATCATCAGCTATTAATTAGTATGGATAATTATGGTAATTTTATCATAATTCTGGAATTCTAATGCATAAGAACAGTCTGTTTAGTGTAATTTCTCTAATATTTTCACCAAAGTTGTTAGTGTAATAAATTGTGAAGTATAGAAACGTCAACATGTGAACACACATTATTGATTAAATTTGAGCATTTCTTGAAATGTAAGAAAATTATTGTAAATTTATGTTGACATTTCATTTTCATTTGTAGTTATTGTGGTATGTTATGTAGATTGTCTTTTAAATCCATTTTGAGTTTTCTATGATGTGGAACCATGATAACTAGTTTATAAGATCTTCACACAATGTAAGGAACAAATGTAAAAAGTTAGTGTGTGAACTTAACTTTCTGTATACAGGCTTGGTCATTTTGTCTAACCTTGTAATCCCACTGAAACCATGAAACCATACATGTTACAACTCTGAATGTACTAAATATATCTTCATGAATTTTGGCAAGAATATGATAAACATTACAAATCTGTTGTACACAATAATTCTGATACTATCACTCATTTCCGTACACAGATAGCTATTTTCCTCTTGAAGTCACACTAATCTGCCTCAGAGACTTGCATGCCAACAGTCTTGTGATAACTCCTACCTAAATTTCACGAAAATTTGCACTACTACATGATCATTTTTTTTCCCTTGGCACAATCATGCAAAGATGTTTATTTTTGCTGAGACTTGTTGAAGTAATATGCTTCAACAAACATACTTTGTGTTTTCAACATTCAATATGAATTCACAAATCAACATGAATTCTTTTTTTCTGCTGAAGTGAATACAAAGTTCACTCACAATTGCCAACAATTTAGTAAGTTCTTTGCCTGTTGATATTGTGACAACCATCATCAAACATTTGGTGATGTCCATGTTCTACCTGGACCCTCTCCTTTTGACCCTGCCACACATTTCCCTTTACAGAATTTTGAAGCTGAGGTTGTGGAGAAGATATTGGAACAAGTTTTTTTCACCCAATACTTCTCTACCTAATGAGTATTTCTCGACTTCTTCCACCTGCCTTACATATATTTTATACCCATGATTTCCTTTCTTCTCCTGCTGTTTTATGCCTTGTCCTCCCTGCCTTACCAGGTAACACACAGAAGTTACTGTTTCGATATTGTTTATTTCTCCTTAACATGAAACTCATAGGACTTAATGTTTAAACATTGTTTATTACTCCTTAACATGTTCATGTAGAATATATATCATTTAGATCTAGTTTGTTACTCCTTAACTTGTACCATATATAATATAATGTTTAGTCACAGTTACTTACTCCTTAACATGAACACGTAGTAGGTAATGTTGTGTTGTAGTTACTTACTCCTTAATATGTACACGTAGTAGGTAATGTTGTGTTGTAGTTCCTTACTCCTTAATATGTACACGTAGTAGGTAATGTTGTGTTGTAGTTACTTACTCCTTAATATGTACATGTAGTAGGTGATGTTGTGTTGTAGTTACTTACTCCTTAATATGTATACATAGTGCTTCGACCTAGTTATTTCCTTTTATTACATAAGCTTAGATGTTCATATTTAGTTCTATTTCGTTACTCCTTAACCTGTACACATAGGAAATAATATTTAAATATAATTTATTTCTACTTAACTTGCAACACTTTCATGATGATGTATATACTTCATTCATTACTCCCTAGCATGTCCATTTAACGATTAATGTTTTGTCATAGGTCTTTACTTCTTACCATGTACAGTTGGAAAATAATGTTCAGCTCTAGTTATTTACTCCTTCTTGTGTACACATGGAAGATAACGTTTAGTTCCCGTCCATTACTCCTTGATAAGTCACACCTCAACGATAATATACCACATAGACTTTAATAATTAGATCTGGTTATTTACTCATTTACATATCATTAGAAGCTGGGGTTTAGACATAATCATTTACTTCATACCATATTACACTATATGTTGTGGCTACTTGCTCCATAACATACTCATAGATGATAATGTTCAGTTCTGGGCCTATTCCAATCGAGTGAGTTTCTTAACCTGTCATGTTCTGGGGGCATGACACATTGTCACAGGCTGTCTTCTTGACATGACTGCATCCTTCCCACTAGTCTTTAGTTGTTCTGCTTTCAAATTGTTCCTTCTTTTGTTGCCTTGCCACATTCCTCATTACTAACCTCCCTTTATTCTGGTCTCCTGTGCCTCATTTCTCAACCCTGGCTGTCTATGTCCTCAGTCTGAACTTGTCTACTCTCTCTTTTTTTACTATGCATAACCTATTCTCCATCTTCTCTCTCAGATCCTTGCTCTGTTTTGTGAGACCCCTTACGGGGTCCATTTGGTAGCCCATCGCAGGCAACCCCAATGTTTTCTATATCACTCCATCTCAATCCTGACTTTCTCTTCTTAACTCTATCCCTTCTGATCCACCCTTACACATCACTCTTTCTTCGGGATATTCAATCTCTCTATCTTTGCATGTGGGAATTGTTCAGTTCACTTCCCTGGTCATGTAGCTGTCCCTTTGTTCCACTCGTGTCACCCTTTTACCACTTCCATGTACTAGTGTATGGTGCATACTTATCACCTTGGTCTCATTGTCAATGTTTCCATTTGACTTCATTACATTGTAACATATTCCTCCTCTTTCATGGGATGGTTCTTCTGTGAACTGTATTTATCTTCTATTTTAGGTTTTTGAGTGGCATTTCCTCCACCCTCGGCTCTTTTACACCCTCTTTCATTCCTTCCTAATCCATCTCTTCCTAGTTCTTGCCTAACTAGATTGTCACTGTGGTTCTCCATGGTTTTACCCGGGTCCCAGTCAGTTCTCTAGCAGATGTTTCTACTCTCCCTAGCCATATCAGTCATATTTCTACTTGTTGTTGATCACTGTTGTTCACATATCTGTACTCTTTTTTTTCCTCTCACTTTCTCATTACTGTAATTCTCTTTAATCCTATCTGGTTTTTCTGTCTCTCGTATTTCATGGCAAGGAAAGTGGTCACTACTTTTCTTCCATATCTCCTCTATTTCTCTTTTCAGTGTTATTTATGATCCGGACAGATGCTCTTGTCCTGTCTGGGCCACTCAGTGTTTTGTCACACTCTTTGTCCTTGTAGTTCTCTTCACTGTCCTTTCATATCTGGGACCCCCTACTATACCCAAGGTCTCTCTTCTTACCAAATTATGGCTTGGATGTTCCAGCTCTTATATCTCATATATGCCTCTCTGAAAGCATATGATTGTATGCTCTCTTGAGTGTCCTCTCTTCACTTTTTCTCCTCCCATTTTCTCTTACCCTTCTATTTTCTTCAGGCTTGTATGTGAACTACCCCACACCTCTTTGTTGCCCACTCTTTGTATCTCATGGCTGTCTCATCTACTTTAGGATTTCCACTTTTGCTCCTGGCCATTTTTCAGTCCATCCTCTGTCTGTCAGCAAGTGTATTTCTCACCTCACTATCACTATATGATCCCACTAGGTGGTTAGTGTTGCCTCTCATTATCAAGCTGGGATAATGGAAAGCACTTATACCATCTACCCTTACTTAATCATTGCCTACTGTGAGATGAGATGTTCCACAAGACCACTGGAGTTTTTCTCATGGTAATATTATATAACATTCAATAGCCTGATTCAAATTGTACTCATTCTGTGGACTATCATGAAAAAAAAACAGCACCAGAGTTGTGCTTCTGCTTGCTTCTGTGGCTAACACTTGCTGGCTTTTAAAAATAGTTTCATGGTTACCTATTGCAATGTCTCCAGTAAAAGATCTTTCAGGAAGGCACCTAATGATGCTCCACGCACATTCTTTTGGGCTTTCCTACACGAGTTCTCTCTCCCCTTCAAGTGTAGCACATGAAACCCTTGCCAGTTACTAGCTCTCAGCCAATGGGGTGGTGGACCATGGAGAATCCTTACCAATTTGGACCTAAATGCTAGGAGCTATTACATATGAGCAAGGGTTTTTCTGGATCATCCCATTTCATATAGGTACATCACAATCTCAAGTGAGAAGTGGGGCAAGGGTTTTTTCTGGAGTCTAGTGTGGATTATCCCATTTCATATAGGTACATCACAATCTCCAAGTGGAATTTGGACATGTATCACGATATCAAGCTCATATATAAGACTATGTTTACCATAATTTCTACCAAGCAATGGCCTGAATCCTATTTATCTGATGGCAGAGTAGGTTATAATTATTAATTGTGATGTATTGCTCACTCACCCTATTCCCACAGCAGGCAAGGGTCCCTGTAGTGTCTGATGGTTGAAGTGAATATATAAGTATTCATACTAATTATGCCCAATAAAGAAAAATGAATGCACTGTGCCCTACTCCCGGGACT